CTATTCATGACTTCATATCTCCAAATGAATTATTTCTCCTCTTTTTTTTTGTTTGTTTGTTTGTGCAGTCAGCTGAAGAAATGTTAACATCTCACTCTAAATCTCTCAGTGGAGTCTCTGTTCCCTTCTCTGATATAACAGATGGGTTACTGCTTGTTATAATTATTAACATTGTGGTGTGGGTCAGGGCTGGGTGGGCAAGATTTACTCTTCCTTTGGGCTGGGGAGGGGCCAGTCGTTAGGGTATGGAATGTTAACTCAAGTGGTGACTGACTGTTTCCGTAATACCAGGTCGTTGTGGCTGCACGCTCTAGTAATTGAGGCTGTGTACTTCACCGAGCTTGTGGTAGAGCCTAGGGCAAACCGCTGTCCCAAGAGAATGCTGGGATAGATAGAGTTAGCCAATACTGAGTCTGAACGTGGTGATTTTGCTGGTTGTTTTAGCTCCAGATGTTGGCATGCTTAGTTTTTAATGTGATTAATAAATGTGGCGCCATATCCCCTCCCCACGCCTGAACCCTCTCTCCTACTCCTTTCCCACCTTATTCTTTTTGAAAAATTTAAGAAACAGTAATGAAAACCTGGTGTTTCAAACTGCACTTTGTTCTCATGTTCAACAAAACCTTCAGATTGTTGGTAGAAATGAGCACTAAGCAGTTGCTCAGCCTGGAATCTTTATGCACTCTGAAATCCAGAACAGAAATAAATATACCTAGATGGGTTTTTTTCACACATTTTGTTAAATTATATTTTTGAATATCCAGTTAAGTATCCAGAAATGCTTAGCATAAATATCTAAAAAGAATAAATTCGTGATGTGCAATTGAGTTTTTTAATTTGGAGTAATTGGTGAATTGCTTCATTATGCTATTACCCATCCATCCTATACATAGCACTCCTTTGAAGTACTTCTCTATAGTATCATTATCATACTAAAGTCTTTATGAGAGTAGCCAGGTTGAAAGGTTATCTGATTTTTTAAATATACTAATGTTGGGTTTTTCCCCTGGTGTTGACATTCTTCTTGATCCTGTCATTGTCAGTAAAACAGTTCATTCCTGCCCTATTTTCCTATACTTGATGCACAGACAGCCTCATCAAGTTCAGACTTCAAAGTCACGTTCACTTGCAAAAGAAGGAAACCATAGCCCATGGATAATGTCCATTTCCTTCTGAGTGGGAAGGAAGAAACTTTACTATAGTTGTCATTATTTGGAATGCTGTGGGTTAACAGTGACATAACTTCTCAACAAAGGGGTCCCTCTGTCTTCTTGAAGGCCACAGAAACTGTAGGGAGTTACTCCTTTTGTACCTCACTGAGAACCTCTTTTTTTCTCAGAATTTGTAGGATCCAGATCAAAGCTGTAATTGGAGAAATTATACTAAAAGTAGCCCCATTATCTCTACTCAGGCTTCCAGGGGTTGAGCCTGAAGCCATCCTCAATGAGGACTCTTGGGCCTCAGAACTCTTTTTTTTTTGTCGGTCGTGGGGCTTGAACTCTGGGCCTGGGCGTTGTCCCTCAGCTCTTCAACTCAAGGCGAGCGCTCTACCACTTGAGCTACAGCACCACTTCCCCTCAGAACTCTTTAATGAGACTATTCTATAGCACTTTACCTAGGTAAGCAAGAATTGAACATTAACTGCTTTTATTAGTTTAGATGTTTAAGGATAAACCACATGTTAGATTGCTCTTGCTTTTACAAAGCTTTAATTCTAAGCTAATGAAAGCAAGTCTCAGTATTATGAAAAATCGAGCCTTTGGGGTCCAACTAAAAATTCAGTCATACTAATCAACTTTTGCTTTATATAGTAAATGCTTGTATTGAATTTGTGTCATCTTTAGAACCCTATAAAAAGAACCAAGGTAAGTCAGGTGCCAGTGGCTCACACCTGTAATCCTAGCTACTCAGGAGGCTGAGATCTGAAGATTGCAGTTCGAAGCCAGCCTGGGCAGGAAAATCTATGAGACTCTCATTTCCAGTAAACTACTCAGAAAAATCCAGAAGTGGCACTGTGGCTCAAGTAGCAGAGTGCTAGCCTTGAGCAAAAAGAAGCTCAGGGACAGTACCTAAGTTCAAGCCCCAAGACTGGCAAAAAAAAAAAAAAAAGTAAAAGAAATACTTTGGTGAACTCTGTTTCAACCAAGATCTAGAGCTTTGCCAGATCAGTTTGGCTTGCCCATTCCAATAGACGTGGTTGGAATTCCAAGAAACCACTGATCACAACTAGACCTGGAAAATCCTTTATGCCATGTCCATACCCATTACCATTTCACTGCCAGTGTTTGGTAATACTTAGTAGCATCATCTTTATAGAAGAATTTGTAAATGAGTAGGAAATTATACTTTAAAGAACTAAATACAAGCCAGGCACCAGTGGCTTATATACCTGTAATCCTAGCTACTCAGGAGGCTGAAATCTGAGGATCACAGTTCAAGCCCAGCTCAGTCAAGGAAGTCAGTGAGCGTATCTCAAATTAACCACCAGGAAACCAGAAGTGGCACTGTGGCTCAAGAAGTAGAGTGCTAGCCTTGAGCTGAAGAGCTGAGGGCCAGTGCCCAGGCCCAGAGTTCAAACCCCACGACCAAAAAAAGGAAATACATAGCTGCTAAAGCCAATCAGGTTGTTTTTAATATATATTCCAAACTACTTCAAATGACTTCACACACTGTAGACTTAAAAAGCAAGAGTACATTTGCCCTCACATTGCAGTTTCTTCAGTTACACAAAGCGTAAGTCATAAAAGAAAAAAACACCAGGTGCTAGTGGCTCACACCTGTAATCCTAGCTACTTAAGAGGCTGAGATCTGAGAAGCGTAGTTCAAAGCCAGCCAGGCAGAAAAGTCCATGAGATTCTTTATTTGCAATAAACTACCCAAAAAATGGGGGGGGGGGAGTGGATGTGGAGTTGTATGGTACAAGTGATAGAATGCTAGCCTTGACCAAAAGAAGCTCGGGGATCGTGCCCAGGCCCAGCACACACCAGAAGTGAAGAGCTTTAGTAGCCCATAAAATTATAGGTTTTTCCAAAATAAAGTTTAATAAAAATAAAAGAAGTGAGAAGCTGCTAGATTGGATGGCAAAGAGAGCAAGAGTTCCATTAGAAAATATTTGTTTTCAGCTGGCTCCCACCTATAATCCTAGCTGAGATCAGAATTACTGCTTGAGACCAGCCCAGACAGAAAAGTTTACAAGACTCCTTTTTCTCCCCTAACTTAAGAGGAAAGAATAATAACCAGCACAAAAAAGCATCTCCCTAGCAAGTATGGAGTCCTGAGTTCAAACCCCACCAAAATGAAAGAAAAATGCAGCTACTTGTTTTAAATCCTAAGCGGTGACACAGAAGTAAATGTGAAATTTCTTTTATAGATTTATAAAGAATTGAATATTAGAAGGAATAGTGGAAAGCTTCAGATGTCCATGAAAAGTAAACATAGACTACAGAAACAAAATGCCATACTGCTGTTCATGACTTAAATGGTGTCCAGATGACCCATCAATTACTTTTTCTGTGTGTGTGTGCCAGTCCTGGGGCTTGAACTCAGGGCTTGGGCACTGTCCCTGAGCTTCTTTTCTCAAGGCTCTACACTTGAGCCACAGCTCCACTGCCTGCTCTCTTGATTATTAATTGGAGATAATAGTCTCACAGACTTTCTAGCCCAGGCTCTGGCTCCAAACCTTGGTCCTTAGATCTCCTGAGTAGCTAGGATTACAGGTATGAACTACCAGCACCAACCAAACACTTAATTTTGATAGAGGAAGAGCATAATAATTTTTGTTTGAATTTGGTGTAAATAGGAAATTTAGAAGGATAAGGGAAATTATGACTTGCCACTTTTAGTCACCTATCTTGTGGCTCATTGGTTGTGGTGATCCTCTTTGAAGTCTTTTCTAAAACTGGACATGAATTATTGAGGCACTCATAATACCTTTTGAATATTTGATTCATATAAATGGAGGTGAAATTACAAGCTGAGAGAATATTTGAAAATAAGGAAAAGTCTCAGTTTACAATGAAGCTGTAGGAATCACACAATCTTTTTGAAGGAAAAGCAAGATAAAGCAGATGTCATTAAGTGCTTAGAGTGGCTCCGCATGTATGTGCCAGGATCTGAAATGTAGATTGGAGTTGGTAAACTTTTCTGTAAAAGGTCCAGTGGTAAATTATATTTTGGCTCTTAAGCTATATAGTCTGTCACACTACTTTTTTTGCGATCGTGGGGCTTGAATTGTTATTGAGCTTTTTTTGCTCAAGGCTAGCACTCTACTACTCTGAGCTACAGCACCACTTCCAGTTTTCTTGTGGTTAATTGGTGATATGAGCTACAGACTTTCCTGCCAAGTTTGGTTTTGGACTGCCATCATCAGAAACCGGCTTCCTGAGTTGCTAGGATTACAGGTGTGAGCCACCAGCACCCAGCACACTACTTTTTTTTTTTTTTTTTAAGCAGGTGGCAAGCTTCATTGTCTCACAAGACAAAGTTCACTGGTCTTGACCTACTTTGTCCTTTCCTTTTAAATACTGTCTGATAATCTTAGCTTCTTAACAAATGTGGTAGGACCAGACCAGATCTGGTTAGACCTTCCTGTGGTGTACTATAGTCTCTTAGTAATGAATGAGCCAATCCAAGTATGTTACATATTTTAACTCTATAATTTGCATTTCCTGTTAGTGTTCTCTCAACATTCTGTGACTTTTTTTTTGAAAGTTCAACAAACACTGTGAAGACAGATCCAAAATTACATCTATTTCTTAATAGGCATTATCTATGTAGATTATTTTTTGTTACCGTCACAAATTGGAAAGCAATTTGGATAGAGCTTAATTTCCTTTTAGAGGAATAACATGAAGACCAATGCAGTTTGAAACATTTCTTCCCATGTGTGTCTGTGTTGCTGTCTGTCCCTGTGTCTACACTTGTATGTCTGTTGGGTGGGGAGGTGTGTGTCTGTCCCGGGGGAGAGGTATCTGTAAAGTCAGTTCTCTTTTCTCCTGTAGGGTGGATATGCAGCCTACAGATATGCACAGCCTGCTACTGCAACCGCAGCCACAGCTGCTGCAGCCGCCGCAGCCGCTTACAGCGACGGGTATGTAGATCACAGGAGCAGGCACTGCACCATCCACAGCGTTGTCCTTTCCTCCTCACCACTGCTAGAGCAGAACCTAGTTCACTGGGCTTCCTGCCAGCCAGGTTTCTCTGCAGGTCTGCTCTGCATGGCCTCACTGTGCCAGCATAGGAGCCATGGGCCCCTCCCCCTATTCACTGTCTTGTTGTATTTTCTTGGATCTGCTACTGCAGTCTCCTTCTTCCTCTTTCAACTCCCTTTCTAGTACTTCAGAATATTTCAGGACTGCATTCAGGTAGAATTTTCCTAATAACAATTCAAGACTAAATAACTCACATCTTTAGTAGAGTAAACCCTTTTCTTCTCTTTCTGATTGTGCTTCTTTTTTCCAGTTATGGCAGGGTGTACACAGCCGACCCCTACCATGCCCTTGCCCCTGCCGCTAGCTATGGAGTTGGCGCTGTGGTAAGTGAATATACATTTTCCCTTAAACTGTTTTTCTCCCTCTAACTTTTACATACAGACTATAAAAGGTCTAGAGAAAGGATCAGTTCAGTCCTTCATCTGTTGCCACACTGTGAGAGCCTCCTAGGTCACTGGAAACTTCACGGCACTGTCGTTATCTGTATATCAGCTATGTGGCTTAGAAAGGAATGGGTAGTGCCTGTCTTCGATGAATAATGACATCATTTAGAAGAGGAGTAAGGGAACATGCCATTGTCATAATTTTATTGATTGATACTGGCAAAGACTGGAGAATAAAAATCAGAGCAAGCTTTCCAAAGATCATAATATATATCATTTTGAATTGCAGATCCAAAGCATATCTCTGCTAATTCCTAAGCCTTCTGGTAGATATTATTGTATCAATAACATTTTATCATTGGCAAAAAGTGATATTTTTATGGAAAAAATGAAAGATGACCGTAGAGCTTGTCTAGAATAATCTACCCTAACCAAAGTCCTTACTGCAATATTCTTGGGTCTGGCTAGAAAAACCTTAGTTCTAGTGAATGGGACTTACTGGCAGGCAGGCTTTGCCTCAGTGGGACCTCTTAACATTAGGCATTCTCTCCAACACAGAATGCAGCTAGGCAGCTACTTCCACACATGGGCAGTATTGTCTGAGAGGGAAGCAGAATAAAGTGAAAAAGTTAAGGTGTGAAAGATGAGAGCCTGCCACTTTTCCCAACGAAAGCCTGCTGATGAAGGTTTGGGGACAGAAAAGATAAGGTCTTCAGGGAAAGTATGTTTAGAATTGAAGCAGAGAGAGTAATAGCACAACAATGGATGTTTCTAATATTTTATTTAGTGCCAAATGATAAAAATCATATGTAAAAAGTCCTATATAAAAAATGAGCCAAGGAAAGGTAGATTTCTGGGGACCTTCTTGAGAGAGATAAGCCATCAGATAAAGTTGAAAGAAACAAACTAGTTAGTATATACTCAGCCCTTCATGTGAATACATTTCACATCCATAGAAAGAACTGAAATACTAGGGAAAGAATTAGAAGTATTCTAAAGATGACTGAAAGCATATAGAGGAGATATATATATATATATATGGAACCGGAGTATCCACTGGTTTTGGTAACCTTGGGCAGTTGTAGAATCAATCCAATAGATAGATTGCAGAGGAAATGGATTTTTATGTATATATAGTTGAAAGATGAACTTAAGTTGAATCATCTCAAACACAGGATGTGACACGAATTCATGTCAAAAATAAAGATCAGAAGTAACACATGCCCCTGATGGGTCTCTGGTAAGGATTGTGATTATGTACCAGGATAAAGAAAGACCCATTCTGGTCAAAATCATTCTGTTTGCTAAACTCAGCTTGAACTGCTTTAAGTCTCCGTTCTGGGCTGATTAATATGTAGGTGTTGTGTTGGACTCTGGCTGGTGCACCTTGGAGGCAGAAGTTGGTTTCCTGACTTCACCAGGCAGTATGTGTCCCCTTTCACTGACGTTTCAAAGGAAGCCATTTCCCCAAATCCATCCCCAAGACACGCTTCTTCATTTGTAATGCTTCTCTCATCAGCTGTCTAATTATTTTTGTCTTTAATCACTACAGGCGAGTTTATACCGAGGTGGCTACAGCCGATTTGCCCCCTACTGAAGTGACGTGAAACCCCTGCAAATGGGACAGCCCCCAGTTCATGAGGCCTGGCTATTGCAATATTTACTAGTAGAGGAACTCTATAGCAAGATGAAGAGGAAATACAAACAAACAAAAAAAACACAAAAAAAGAGAGAATACTTTTTTATACCTCACTATGTTCTTTGAATATGTATTTTTCCTTTAAATTTCTGCCTTTAATTCTTTTGTTCCAAAGATTGTGCATTTTTTTTCTTTTTTTTTTCTTTTTTTTTAACTGTGGTAAACGAAAAACAAACAAACAAAAAAAAAAAGATAATGCATTTCCATGTCTATATGTCCGTGCCTAGCTTATTCTGTCAGTCACGGAAAAGGCAGTTGATGAGGAAGGAGAGACACTAGGAGCAGAGATATGCATCTGATCAGAAATCGGGAGACAGAATTACCAAAGTGTATCTGGTGCTGCGTGGCTGGGGACAACAGAAGTGGAAGAGATCTTTCTGCAGCGGCATATTCTTCTAGTCTTCTGAATTCTGGTCTTTGGCAGGAGATTCTGATTGGCTGTGGCTGGAATCCACATGCCACTAGAGAGGAATTTGTGCTTGCAAAGCAGGAGAATTAAAAACACTTTTCCTCTCCTCCTTCCCTCCTGTCTTCTCCATTCTTTTTACAATCATCTTACACACCCAGCCTGAGACAGTTGGCATAGCTTTTGGAATTACAGTGTTGATATTTCCAAACATGCTCTCAGACTGTGGATAATAAACACCTCATTAGGAAACCAATCTCAGAATGAACTCTGGAGTATGAAAACACTTTTTTCTTTTCTTTCCTCCAATCCTAGCACATCTGCTGGCTACTTCTGTAACCACCGTGTAGCTCATCTGTTCTTCAGTAACATGCTGCTCCCATGTCCTCAACATTCAGGAGTTTAGTATCCAGGGACAGAGAATAAATAGCCAGATTTCCTCCAAGTATCTTGGCACAGCTTGAAGAGTCAAAATAAAAATTTTGAGAGCCATTAAGGAGGGTTCAGAAGAGGAAAAAGGAATATTAAATCTGATATTCCTTATCTTGCTTGCAACAGAAAATCAGTACAATTTATTTGAAAACATAATAAAGCATCTGTTGGGGAAAGGTCAAGCCCCTAGGCCAGCTGCCCCTGGGCGTGTCGGTGATAAAGACACTTGAGGACAGGCAGAGGCACTTTGCATTCACCCCAAAGCCATAGGAATTTTCATCTTCCAGAGCCTCTGTGAGTCACTTCTCTATCCACAGTCTCCAGCTCTCTTGGCCATTCCACCCAGCTTCGCATTATCCTCCAAAGACACCAGCTGAGCACCTGAACCACTTGGTGCACATTAACACTACAGGAAACAAAATCTAGAGCCCACCAAGGAAAGAAGCTATGAAACGGCAAGGGTCCCCTGCAGAGTCCACACAGTGAGTCACTGCAGTTGCTGTCTAGCTTTAGTTTTATGTTAGCAAGGTAGGGAAGAAAGCTCCGGGCTATAACTAGTAAAGACAAAAGTCTGACAGTGTTTCCAAAACAAAAAGCATTAGAAAGTGGGCAGGTATGGTCCGCTGGCTCCTTGCTCTGCTCACACTGGTACTAGGGTGAACTTTCACCCCAAGGGGTAGCTGCTAAAGGGAGTAGTTCAGAGACGTGGAGCTTCTGCTTTATTATGGGTTTTGTTTGATTTTTTTTTTAACTCCTGCCTCCACACGTTCTTTTCTGATAAGCTGATTTCATGTCCCTGAATTAAAATGACTGACATGTGACAGTATCAAGCATTCTTTGTAAACTGATGTCTGGGAGGGCACTGGCCTGCCACATGGAGACATCTCCCTCTTCCCATCCCTCTTCCCTAATTACCTGGGGAGATGGCAAAGAAACTCCAGGCCTGGTGCACTCATGGATTCGGGGAAGGAGGAAGCCAATAGAGTAAAGGACAAGACAGTTCAAGCAAATGGCCATTCACAGGGCTGCCTCCTCCCCCAAGCCAAAGTTAGGTTTGTTGCTGTTAAGACAATATTGTGTGTATATAAATATTTTAGGTGAGGACAAGGGCTGGGGGCTTACAGAGTTCTGGGGAATGAGGGCAGGGAGGCTCTTTCTTTTACTTTGGTTTTGAGGGAGAATGTCTGCTAACTGAAGAAACAGACATTTGGGTCATTCTCCCAAAGTGGCAAGCCACTTAGCCAGGTGGAGACCCCATCAAGTCCTCACTGGTGATATTTGTGGCAGAGGAGTGAGAATGTTTCTCTTTTCTTGGATAGGAATGAGGATAGCCGGCAAGGTAGAGAAGGCAGCTCCCTCCCATAGCCTTCCAAAAGAGGCAGAGTCCAGGCTTTGAGGAGCCTTTGTGCACTTCAGTTCAGCTGGTTCTGGCTGAGGCCTCCAAGGCAAGCTCTGTTTTCCAGGGTGTTCCTGCTGTATTGCCAGTGGTGCTCTTCTGTGTCGCTTTCTCCAGCTCCCTTTTCTGAGACAGAATACTTGGAATTCTGCTTCTTATGCAAGGGCCCTCTGGTTTTCAGGGTCAATGCTGAGAATCGAAGCGCTCTCACACATCCTGATCTCACAGTATCAGCCTCCCCATCCGCTGTGGAGCTTGGAGGTCCCCTCCCATCGGCACCACCAGAGGCAGGCTCCTTGAGGCATCTGTGCTTCTGCATTCCTGACACAGCCAAAGGGGTTGGCATTTTATGAATAACTTCTCTAGGGGATGTAGGCTGATAAATTTTCAAAAAGCTTACTGTTGCTGAATCACAGTTCAAGGATGGCCTTCTCAACTTCGCTCTCATCCATGACCTGGACTTTCTATACTAGGCATCTTATTCTTAGAAGTCGGCCTCCTTTAGGGAGACCCCTAGTGAAAACCTTTATTGGATATCCCTCTTTCATCCCAGAGAGCTGCCCTTAGGTCTTTTCTAGAATTCCTGTGTTCCATAGTTCAACTGCATTAACTCAGATCCATCATTGTGATTCATCGATTTTTAAGGCTCTCAGGTTTAACAAAACCTATCACTATCATCCTCCAGCAGCCTCAGTCTGAATGGAGCCAGTATATTTTCTTTCTTTAAAGAAGTCAACTGGGGCTCAGCTCTTAGTTCAAGGGGAGCTAGTGGCTATCTAGTCAATAGAAATCAGTGATAGCAGCTTTTCCTCGAATGTGGACTCCTCAGGGGCTGAACTGCTCTTAATTTAGGGTATGCTTTACTAGAGACGTAGCAAACATCAGTTATCACCACCATCCAGTAATGACGTAGCTTCCAGATATGACGGACTATAAGATGGGGTGGAAGCTGCCCCAGGGATATACTTCCTTTTGGCAGAAGAACAAGGCCAACTAAGGGACAGTTTGGTTAGCACCTGGACATTTCAAGAGGGAGAGAGGCGAACTTTCCCTCTTTGCCCAGGTTAGCCGATTCTCTGCTGCTTGCAACTCTCTAGCACAGTAACATTTGCAGAATTGCAGATTTTTTTCCCCCAGATATTAGGAGGAAAGGGACTTGGGGAGGGGAGGGTGGGGAAGGGGTCGTGATGTTTTAAAAAGCATAAGTTACCTGTTTGCACTGTTTTAAGATAGGAAAAAAAATAGTGGGCAAGGTGAACATCGGATGTAAACGTGTGTGTTTTATTTTGTCATGCTCTTGAGAATGTCTGACTCTTTGTAGTATACAACAGTGACATTTGATTCTCTGTTGCATAAAACACTATATTTTTTTGGAAATGTTACTGTCCAAAAGCCTCTTCCCTCCCTGTCCTTTTCCTGTGTACTTCCTTCATCCTTGCTTTACTGATCAGCCCGGCAATAGCCATCCAGGAGCTAGAGCAAGAAACAGGGCCCTTTCCAAGTCGGCTCTGGGTGTCCTAAGCCAGCCTGTGCCCTCTCAATCACTGAGTACAGTAGAGTCTCTGGCACCTTGCTTTGAAAATACAGCTCACAGACCAGACTACCAGTTAATGGCATTTCTCAGTGAGAGGCGCTAGGATGAGGAGCCGAGGGATGGAGGGACCCCTGAAGTATTGCAGGTGGCTGTAGTAGCCGAGTTCTTATGCATGTTACCGAAACTGTAACCAGTTACAGTTTACTCAGGAAAACGGTAGATCAATTCAGCCATGGTAGTGCTGGTTGGCAGGGATTGGTAACTGAGAACTGCTCAACAGCCAAAACTCAAACCTTGCCTTTACGGAGACCACCAGCATAGGGCCATGGTCCTCTGCCTGGTGGTGCTATACCTGCCAGTGACATGAGGGCTCAGCTCACCCTGGCAAGCAAAAAGGGAACCCAGATTCTCTTTATCTCCCCTCTCCCCCTGCCCATTACCAATACCAGATTCCCCAGGGGGCATGTGAGGTTTTTGAATTTTTCAAAAGGAAAATGTTTTGGTTTGTTGTTGTTGCTTTTTTTTTTCCTGGGGACTGATAAGTGCTTTAAGTGATGTCTGCACCCCATGAAGACTCCCAGCTTCTTCGTTTCCTTGTATTTTCTGTTCACAGTATTTTTGTGTGCGCGTGCTTATTCGGCAGCTCATTTTGGCTGTATTATATATCGAGTGATGAATTGATCCTATTTTTTCCCCCTTAAAGGACATGAATTTTTTTTTCTTATGTTATCATTCTGCTTGTGAATATTTGAAGCCAGGCTGGGCTGACACTAGGGCTACAAAGTGAGGAGAGAGCCAGAGGAGTTTCCTTGTCCTTGACAGGCTCACCCACCTGAGGCTCTGAGCTTTTCAGTCCAGATCTTTGCAAGGCTCAAGCGCCGCTGCCGCAGAACCTCTCCTCTCCTCCCCACCCCCACCCGTGGCAGGGACTGGCCGGGCCCCACGTGCACCACAGATTCTCTGGCCCCTCCCATTGCCATGGCAGAACAGGTACATTTGGGGACTTGGGGGCATCCATGGGATGTTTGTACAATTGACCACCTGGCCTTGCCTCCTCCCCTCCCGTCCTCCCCAAGACTCACTTCCTAGGACACCCGAGCCGCTTGCCCAGGGCCCTGTTTCCCTGCCAACTCCAGAGAAGCACCCCAGGGCTTTGTGACAGTCTCTAATTCCCCTCCCTTCTCCTTAAGAATCATATTGTATAGTAGCTTTCAGACCATACAGTATTCATTGGGTTACTCCTATTATTATCAAGTAGCTGGAATTGTGAAGGTCGGAGTAGTTAGATCTTTAGCTTTTCTTCCTTATTTTTTGTATTACTCTCCATGTGTATAAATTATTGATCATGTTGCTGGCTTTTATAAACTTAAGCAAAGGAGGAGGACTGCCTCAGCCTTTGCGAATGGTAATGAAGCACTGTTTTTAAATAAAAGAGAGAAACACCATCTTTGGCCTGTGTGTATTGATCCTCTTCCCCTGTTGCCTCCACCTGAAGTTTACAAGGTGCTCCCTGGATTCACAGGATGGTAAAAGGAAGAAAGAAAACCACAGCTCTTCCTGCAGAAGGTGGTAAACTGGCAGATAGATGGGACCACTAGCTGCTGTCTGGGGTCTCCAGCCAGTGAGCTTCCATCTGTCCAGAGTTCTGAAATCTCTTTGCAATTGCATGCGTTCACTCTCCCCTAACCTCCTGAGCCTCCTACCACTCCACCAGTTCCTTTGCGTTTTCTTACCTGGACCTGTTAACTACCCCTTAATACATTGGTTTCACTGCCAATAATGGCTCAATGTCTGAAGTTACCATAACACCCTCTTTCCATCTCCAACTCCTTTAACTTCACCCCACGAGGTAATCCTGCTTCCTTTTCTGTGAAGATTATGGAGTCATCACATAGCGTCTCCTTGAATAACTTCGGCTGTCAGTGTCACAAGCCTACTTGTATGCCACCCATTCTTTTTTCTTTCTCCCGTTCTTGTGGAAGAGGCCTTCATCTCACAAGCAGACCCATATCTACCCTGCTCTCTCAGCTTTGGGACTTTGACCTCCTCTTTTGCATGGTTAACCTTTTCTCTCTAGGATCATCTTGGCATT